GTATTCCATGATTCTGTGGTTCTCTGATAGCTCAGCTTTTAATATCTGGTAGTTTAGCGTTTAGAATTTAAATTTTCCTTTAAGCAGTCTGATACTGGCCGTTTACTCTTTCATCTTTTTGACTCCGACATTTTTTTAATTCCAGATTCTTTTATTATTCTGTAAACAAAACCCTTATAAACAGAGAACAAAACTATTCTTTCCCAATTCTCCAAAAGAAATTGAAAAAACAACAGAGCAAACCTTTCCTAGAAGGTGCATCTTCTCCTTATATCATTATTTCCTGCTCCCAGACTTACTGCAACTTTTTGTAAATTCCAAAAAGTTTTTCTCTGCTTTCTCATAACTTTGGTGTGAAAAAGTGTGTGAAAGAGGTAAGACTATCTGGAAAACATTAATTCAGGCCTTTCTATTTCTTGGAGAAAAATCAGGGAAGCCATGTATCATGACCTCGTTTTTTGTTTGGAAAGGGAAAATCTTGTAACAGGAATGGAAATAACTGGTGGATAGACGAGAATGCAACAGATAGATGAGGTGATAAAACAATACAGAAGAAATTAACGGTTAGTTATATTCAGTAGACAGGAAATTTTTTAAATGTCTGCTTTTACAGCACTAAAATAAACTAGCTTGCTCTTTCAGTTGATAATATTAATCTTCTCATAAATGTATTAATAAAAATTCCTAATATGAATGGAAATAAGAGAGAATAAACTTATAAAGAATCATTCTACCAGAAACTCTCTATAGAAAGTATTTTCACAATTTCGTGAGTATTCTTCATTTTATTTCTTCCCCTTACGTTCATAAAAAGCATCCATTTTGACATTTCCAATTATTTTTCTTGATATTTGTAAAATCAGCTGTAGCAGGTGTAGTTGCTCTGACACTTTACTACAATACTCTGAAGTGACAACTAGCAATGCCATTTTTGGGAACAAAACTGCCATGAGGGCAAATTCCTGGTGTTAGCTTTCTACTAATTAGGTAAATGTACACTTGAGGTTACATTTGCAGGCATCCATTTGCATAATTATCTCAAATTTAATAGTACACTCACCATATCCCATAGCTACTTGGGATGCAATTATTTTGACAATTATTATTAGCAGATATTATAAATAATTCAGGACATATTAATGCAAAATAAATCCATTAAGACCAAAGCCCTAGGGCAGAAAGTCTGACTCTCATAGAGTGATGAACAAAACACTTTTCTTGGATGCCAGTTTTTGTACCTTGTGAGAGTATACAGGAAGAATGGTCAAAATGTGACATAGAATGTGTAGCATTATAATGTTATCAAAGCATAAGCTATGTTTAATATTTCTCTAATATAAAAAGGAAAATTTTGTTTCCATAATAGTTAAACAGAAATGTTTTCTTGGAAAACGTCTGGTAAAGTTTATGATAGGTGAATGATGGACAAGAATGTGATTGAGAAAAAGCAGCTGGATTTATCGAAGGCAAATATTGTCTATCCAACTCAGTTGACTCAGTTGATGAAATAACTAGATTTGTGGACATGGAAAGAGCAGATCATCTCATGTTTCATGACCTTAGGAAGACCTTCAGTAATGCCTCCTCCGGTATTCTTACAGCCAAATTGGACATGCTGGATAAATGGAGGGTTATTGGAATATCAGGTTGAAAAGTCCAACTGGCGGTTTGTGATAAGTGTTGACCCCAGATATTACTGTAGGAGACAATACTGATTAATGGCTTTATTAATGACCTCAGTGTTTGGATAGAATGCACCATCAAGCAGTCTGGATGATACCACACTGTCGGAGGAACTGGTCAAAGAGACTGTTAGAGAGTGAAAAGATCACCCTGAGCTCAACAATATGAAGGTGAAGTTCTGGGCTTGAGATGGACTAAGCTTGTGTAACAGTGCCAGCAGTATGGCAACTGGTTTCAAAAAGTGATTATTCCCTTTTAATAATGCTTGTGAGACCACGTCTTGAATATACATCGATTAGATGCAGAAGTCTCTAATGCTAAACTACTGAACTCCTGAAGTATTTCTTCTTGATAAGGAGTTAAGAAGGATGACCCATTTGCTCCAGTGCAGGTCTTGCCACAATGCAAGAAATTGGACTTTACTTCAAAAATACTAAAATACCAATCACTCTGTAACAATTTCTTAAGTTTATTTCTTAAAATTCTTCACAAAATGTTTGTAGAAGTAATTCAAATTTGGTGTTCATACGTGCCATGTATTACATGAAACAGATCTGAAATCTTTCTTCTTCAACGTTTTGCTATATTCAGTCAGAAATTTTCTTTGGCATTCTGTCTCACTCCAATTTATAGGAGGGAGATGAGGTTCTTTTAATATCTGCATACCCGGCGTGAGATTAAGAAACAATGGTTCAAATGTTGGTCCAACCAGTCTATTATAAATCCTAATCAGAGTGATGGGGAAAGGAAGGAGGGTGATAGAAAAGATAGGAAAGAAGCAAGAACTGTGTAAAGCAGGGAGAGTCACCACCAGGTTCAAGCAGCGTCCCATTGCACGACGTTTCGAAGGTCCAAGATAGAAGCAGTGGGGGGGTGAGGGGGGGTGGGAAGGGGAGCAGCAGCATGGCTGGTCTTGGGGATCAAGCAGGAAGCAGGAAGAAGTCACAGAGCCAATCTGGGAGGAAGCAGCAGGACTCAGGCAGCAGGCCCAGGAGAGTCCATCAGCATGCAGGAATGTCATAGGAGGCAGACACCTATCCTCATGGTTTTCAATTCCTCTTTTATCCTACTTGTTCTCCTGCGTACATGACATCCCTGGGCGCTTGAGCAAGAGTCATGTGAGTACCCCTGAGATGGCCATATTCCTTGAGATAAGTCCACACAAAAGGCTGCTTCACAGCCATTAAGCTGCATCTTATCTCTCTCTTGCTGCCCCTGACCTTGTCCATCTGTGTCCCTCAGACAAAGGATTTCTCAACCCTTGCCCAGGACTTGCTTGGACTTGTTCATCTGTGTCTCCAGAAAGCCTTGAGACAATGATGTAAAAGAATAATCTCTTATACATTCCTGAGAACTTTAATTTTGGATCCAGCACTAGTAAGCACTTAACCTTAAAAAAAATCCTGTTATTTTTACATATTATTATTATGTGCCCTCTGATAACTTATAATCAAAATTTTGAAATGTGTTATAAAGCTTTAAAGCTTTGACACTGTGTACATATATATGTGTTTGTAGCCAACTTATAACATTACATCTATTAGACCATAAAAATTTCATAAAGAATAATTCATTCTAATTTTGAAGAAAAAAAAACTTATAACAAAATAAACCAAATAATATTGCTTATTCTAAAAATGTCTGTCTTCTAATAAGTGTCTGGGTAAATGGTCCAAGATCAATGAAAGTTAACAGGGTTCCTTTAATGACCGTTTTTTTTTTTCCTTAAAATTGAATTAATCTAAATTAAATTTCAATTTGAGACAATTATGAAAGAAAATATCTTAATGCTATTTTTTAACAAAAAAAAATAACAGAACAGCAACTGTGAAACATTTAAGAAGTACGTGGTCATATAATGCATTCTTGATTTCAGCATTAAAGTTCCCCCATTTTCTGTACTTAGGGGGGTATGAGTTGTTATTCACGCCAGTGTTATGAACACAGAATAAGTTGTCACGGTTTTATGATTTTTCATAAGGTCATCTGACCTCCTTTTTCTTCTACGTCAGGCTCTGCTCCCTGCTGCTCGTCCCAACAGCACGCATCACTTCAACATTAGTGAAAGGCCTTAAGCTTTTGGACAATCTGTCATTATATTTGATTTGTTCGCTTCAATTCTAATTATAATGTATTATAGTGTGTTATCTTGCGTTCCGATACCATATTTAGTAAATTAGTTTGTTTCTCCTCAGATCGTTGCCACAGTTTTTAATTATTTTGGGGCCCCCTGTTTCCCTTTTCCGGAGGTGCAGATTTGCAAATCCGCACCCCACGAGTCACGGAACTGGGCCAAACCATCCCTTCAACAGTTGACATAAGTACATCTGAACGTAATGAACATAATTTTAAGTACATCATTTTTCTGGATTCAAGTATTCTGTTTTATTTTATTGGCTGTAAGACAGAGTCACACAACTGTCCTGCTGATCTGAGAGAATTAACAAAAAAGCATTAAACAAACATTTTCATTTAAATTAATGACCTGTGCTTATACAAGTTTGCCTGTTGTTCCTTCGATTCATGAAGTTTTTCTGTAGCAGTGCTTTCTCAATTGATTGGCTATAACAAATGAGAAATACCCTCACAACTCAAAGGGAAAACATGTCATGGGCAAAGAAAGAAGAGACAACAAAGAACTGAAATTTTTAATTTTGAAATTGTCTATTTATTAAGACAGATTCTTATTACTTTACTAGGGTTGAAAATCCCTTTCATTTTCTCACCTTTATTCATATAAACATCTTTCTTATTGTGTGGGAACTGCTGAGTCACAACCTGAACCTCTGATTGATCACCTGAGGAAAGCAATGAGTCAGCCAAAGGAGCACAGGTGAAGGCAATTCACCTGTGAAGCCAGAAGGGGTGGAGCCAGGCTCCTAGATCTATTTAAGAGTTGGCTACCAGTAGGGAAGGATCTCTTCTGGAGATTGCCTCTGCTGTAGTTTTGTAAGCGAGCCCAGGATAGGGGTAAGCTTTTCTATCTATTTTTTTTTTGTTATTGTTATCTACTTTGCCAAACTCTCTTGTTTATTTTGTAATTATAACATCTTAATGTTCACTGACTGTACACTTATTTATTAGTTTGGGGATTATTTATCTTGATATTGGGGCCTTTTAGTCAAGTTTGAGCTGAAAAATGACTGGAGTTACAGTTTTAAATTTCTTCATAAGGACTGTAATTGAAAACTCTGAATTAAATTAAAGTGATGTTAAAGAGTTTTCTGTATATAGATATATGTAAACATATATAAGCATTCAGGCTTTATAGTCACATGTTATTTTAATGCTGACATGGATTTCTGTGTGTGTGATAGGATGAAAGCAGTGCATGATCTTGATTTCTCTTCCACGCACGTGATGTTGTATGCTCTCAGTTCTTCTGTGGAAACAGTGAGTCACTTTACTTAGACATACGGTGAGGGATTTGAACTATACAGTTTCTCTTTTCTCCTAATTAGGTATTAATCAAGTCAAGAGAGATATTAACTTAAATGGTAGCTGGGCTTCAAACCCTAGAAAAAGCTTTATATTTGTAATAGAATTTATGCCAGTGTAAATCAGGAAAAAATGAACGTATATGCGTTCAAAGAGTATCTTCAAATAAAGCTTGAAGCACTATGTTATTTATTGCAGCTGATAAAATATTTCAGCTGATAAAATATTTCAGCAAGAAACTGGCATTTATTTCCATGTTTTTTAGAAGAATTAACAAGTTCCAAAATCACAAATCAAAAATTCAGTTCAACCTATGTTTATGCACTGCAAAAGATTAGGAGGTAAGGATATTTAAATTTGGCTAGACTTGGTCAAGTACTGAATTTAATGTGTGTAATGTCACTTGCATTGCACAGAGATGACCAGGTATAAGGATTTGAAACAACACTTCAGAAGTTTTAGCTACAAAATTTGTATTAGCACTTCTGAATAAAAATTGTCTGTATTTGCCAGTATCTAACTTGGGGGGAAAAATAATATATTGATAAATATAATAAATATTTAAAATATTTAAAAATACAAAATATTAAAAATTATACCATACGGTGATTATTATACCATAACATGATTGATTACAGATTATAAAATATAAAATATTAAAAATATTTAAATATTAAAGTATTTGATGCATAAATTAATAAATAATAGTCTTGCAATCACCCATCTTGAGTCTGTTCCCCAGAATACACTGACTGTGTCTCAACTACAAGCACAGTAAACATCCTACAAGATTTTTCATCCTCTTAGCTATTGGCTTTGAAGAGACACACCATGTTGTACAGGGTATGTCATCATGACTACAGCTGCTTTAAAAGAGGTTCATCTACGTTCAGCTTCACACTGTGGCACTGGTGGCACCATTCCTCTCATATTTCCTCTCTCTCATTCCATTTCAGGATCCTCAGGCTTCTGGAGATCCTGCTGTTTTGGATCATGTCATTGTTGCTACATTTCCCATGGGGTCCAGCTCTGAATTATGGGTGCAAGAAAATCTACTCCTCTGAATGCCACTTCACTGAATCCTTTCTTATGGGGAAAGGAAAGGAGTCACTGTTTTTCTAAGCTTTGCTATCAGTGACAGCCACTAAACACAGTAGCATTATTTTTTTTCAACATTGTTAGTGAAAATACACATTTTCTGTGTTCTAGTATGAACTTACTTCATACTATTCTAACTTCTCTGATTCTCTGAAGCTCTGGGAAAAGCATATATAAACACATTGTTTTATGTTTAAAAAAAAAAAAAAAAGACTCAAACACAGAAGGGGGCTTATTAACTGTCCCTTATTTTCTTGGTTTGATAAAAGAAGGATGAATAAACAGATGGGGTGAAATTCCCAATTTCTCCATTTTTCTAGTGGAGAAGTACTTTTTCCTTAGTATCTTTATGTTACTGTAGCAATATAATCTTAAAATGATGTATGTATTGTGAAATTTAAGGAAAAAAACACTTTTCCTGTTTTTTGCTTATTACTAATGAGATCTTCAGATTAAAATATTACTAACTTACTCTGAAATCTAAATTTCAGTTACTTCTCTCTTAAACAAAAAAATAATCTTACTGGAAGTCTTGTACCAATACAATATTCTATGTTTCCTTATAAACTGCACTCTGAAATACAGTCTGTTAGAAAAATAAGTAATAGACTGGTATTGGTATTCACTGTAAGAATCTAGCAGTTTCTTTAGATTTCTTTTTTTTTTTTTTTCACTTGGCTGATGGAATAAATTCACTTCTAAATTTGATGGAATTAATTCACTTTTGAGAAACTTTTTCTTTATAATAAATGGCAGTAATATTTCCTCATCATATTAAGCATTTTCAGTGATTTCTAAAGTTGAATATTACATGTGTGGGCTTTAGGTCCCACTCAAATTGCATTAAATATGCAGTACACCTTGTGGTATTTGGCAGCTTAAATGACCAGTGATGTTCTAACTAGGCTATGAGAACAGAAAGCTGGAGGTGTAACTCATCCCAAATTTTGTCAAGACTTTGTATATTACACCAGTGAAAATTTCCTTCAAAAATAGAAATAAAATTCCAACTGAAATTTTTGTTTTTAATATAATGAACAGCTTAAAGAACTAATAATTATTCTCTTCAGGAAAAAATACTTTTATTGCTATTGAGAGGAAAAAATCAAAATAATGTATAATTATATATTACTATATATATATGTATATATTTTTCCTCCAGAAAATATGCTTTTTGAATTACATAGGGTTCCAAGGAAATTGTAATTCATTTGTCTTTCTATACTTTTTTTCTCTTGGGCTAGCTTCTCAAACTGGACATTGTTTCCTGTAATGTACCATTCTGATGATTCACCATAATCTTCTTTCTTGGAGAAAATGTGAGTGCACCCTTTGGGAAACAGAATGAATTCATAGAATGTGGTCTGAAGAGACATGTGAGAGCAAAGCTAATCGAACTGCAATCCTCATAAGACAGAGCAGGATTATTATTATTTTTTAAATTGCAATAATTTGTATGTAATATTCAGAAAGAAAAAACAAAACAACAGGGCTTTCTGAGGAAAAGAAATAGGCAATAACATAATTTATTTTTAATAATAAATTGTCTGCTGACAGTTGTTGCTTTTTTTTTTTTTTTTTTTTCAAGAAAGGATACAGTTAACAGACAATCTTAAAGCAGTTGCATTGTAATGCTCAGACAAATATCTAACAAGTATATTTTCATCCCACATCTGTGAAGAAAACAGAAACGGTGAGCATTCTGTGCATTTACCTAACATTCCTTGGTGTGCAAGGCAAGAAAAAATTATTCAGTTACAAATATTCCTTCAGTGAATGAGAATTCAGGCTAGGCTAGATCACAGGAGTTTCTATGCTAGAAGTATGCTTGATATCTTCCAGGCTTTCCAATACACCAGGGTGGCAATTCCAGATACGTGTACAGGCTGGTAGACAAAAAGCTTAACATGAGCCAACAGTATACATTTGTGACTCAAAAGGTCAACTGTATCCTGGGCTGCTTCAAAAGAGTGGTGGCCAGCAGGGAAAGGGTGGTGACTGTTCTCTACTCTGTTCCCGTGAAGCTCCACCTAGAGTACTGTCTGTGTCCTGGCTTGAGGTTCCCAGGAGGAATGTGGAGCTGTTGTAGTGAGTTAAGAGGAGGGCCACAAAGATGATCAAAAGACTGAAGCAGCTCTTCTGTGAAGAAAGACTAAGGAAGTTGGGCTTGTTCATCCTGAAGAAGATAAGGCTGTGAAAAGGTCTTACGGTAGCCTTCTAATACATAAAGGAAAAGATGGGAAGGCACATGTAGTGATAGGATGACGGGTAATAGTTTTAAACTGAGAGAGGATAGATTTATATATAAGGAGTAAATTATTGATGATGATAGAGGTAAGGCACTGAAACCTGTTATCCAGACAAGCTGTGTATGCCCCATCCCTGGAGGTGTTCATGGCCAGGTTGACTGGGGCACTGTGCAGTCTGAACTAGTGGTGGAAACCCTGCCCGCTATGGGGGAGCTGGAACTAGATAATCTTTAGGGTCCTTCCCAACCCAAGAACTTCTATGATTTAGCAGATTGCTAAATGATCCAAATGAATACAGGAGAGGCTTCCTAAACAAATGGTTGAAATGAAAGTTGACGTAAAATCACCTAGAATCTGAGAGGGAGAATGAGAATTGAGAAATGTGCTATGTTCCTACCTTTTTAAGAAAAACAGTATTGGCATCTTCCACAAAGCCATCATGTGCAAACAAAGTATTTAAGGAGTCACAAGAAAATTCTTCTTATGGGTGTATGACATACTTTATATATATAGTCTTAGTCAGGGGGCTCCTAATCTTTTTTAAAACTTATACATATTGTAATGAATTCAGAGTTTATTGACTAAATTCGTTGTAATAAAGCAAAAATCAGACAAAGTAATGTGCTTTTGAGAATATTCTTTGTCACCAATATAATTATTTGTTGTGTGATTTCCACAAAGGAGGACTCAGTAATAAATCTTTCAGATTTTTCTCATTAAAAAAAGTGAAGTGTTTCTTTGTTTGTCTTTCTTATTGCTTTTGCTTTTTGTGTCATTTTAATTTTGCTATTTGTACAATTGCGTATCTGCATCCAGGCATTTAAGCTCTGTGGAATTATAACAGCCAAACCACCAATTTGTTTATTTTCCGTTAATGTAATTTACTTGAGCTGCTGTGCTTGCAGGAAAAAAAAAAAGCAGACCTCCTTGGAGCTGTGTTGGTAATGTTCTAACACATTTTATTATTTGTAGCAGATGTTGGAATTTTAATATTTTAATAATAATAATTGTGTGTGTTTGTTGATAAATGGTGGCTCTTGCAAGTAAAGCATATCATGAGGTTATAATAATGTAATAATTTGAAATCAAATGTTTCCTTAGGGGGAAAAAAATAATTTCTCGGCCCCCCCCCCCCCCCTTAAGATCATTGGGATACTAATAGTCAGTCTCTTATTTCTTCTTTTATTTTACTATCAAAACTGACTGAAATCTTTATGTGAGGCAGTCTGACCTAAAAATAAGTTTTCCTGAATCTGACTTAGAAATACCAATATTTTTTATCATAGTTTTTTTTATTGTAGTTGGAAATATTTAGATAACTGTTAGTGTGAGAATGTGTGGGGCTTGGTTGGTTGGGTTTTTGTTTTTTTTTTTTCTTGTTCTTTGTTTGGTAGTGGTTTTTCCCAGAAAAATAATTCTGCCGACACCTCAATGCTAGATCTCAAAAATTACTCCATATTGAAAAGTCTGACACTGCACTTTTCTATATGTAAGCATTTTTTCCAATTTGAAGAGTTTGCCTGGTATAGCTGATATTTTAATATAGAAGGTATTTCTGAAATGTCACATGGTAACTTTCAATTTGAAAATTTTGAGGCTTTTCTAGATGTGCCTGTTTGAAGATGTGCTTTAATGATATTTTATGTGTTCAAGAACTCTGCTTGTCCTCATATTTATTTTAAAAAGTTCCAAATTTGCTGAAAAAAATAATTCTTAGCTTTCATGTAGAAATGGCAGATAGCTGCTAATAGTTAAATTTCTTTTTAAAATCTACTCAGTCTTTTTATGATTCTGTCCAGAAATCACCGTAAATAAATAAAAGTCCCACTGATCTGGAAATAAAGGGCAAAAATGTGAAAAAGTTATCAAGCAAAAGACTTCTTGAAAGTCTTATGTCTTATTCAGTGCAGATACTTTCATCTTTCATATGCAATTTCAAATTGAAAGGCCTGTACAAAGGGATAATTAGAAACTAAACTAAACTTTTTCTAAATGAAAATATTTTGGAACTGATATTTCTGAATTTCATAAATTTTAGACAAAAAACAAATTTTTGCATGACATTTTTTCTTGACAATCTTTCAACTGGTTCTAACCAGTTACAAAGTTCCCCTGTAAATATTTCCTGGCCTACTCCAGGTTTAAATTCTTTACATACTGATACAATATAAAAAATAATAACCCATGTTACTCTTTTACCTTCTTAGTTGTTCCATTGACATTTCAGTCCACACTTTAAGCCATTTCTGTATGAATTATCTAATATTTCATTTTCCTGAGCGAGCAGGGAATGTTTACTGCTAAATTAGAAGAACAAACAGAATAAATAAAAATAAAGTTTCTGAGCAATTTTGCCTCTGCATGAGAGCCAAATGTTTATTGAGAGAAACATTTCTTCACATTATTTCAGTAGTTCATGCGTCTCTGTTACTGTCTCCAGTTTCAAGACAAGAAGACAGGGGAGGTGAAAAATTATGTGGTGTAACTTGTAGATGCCTCTTATCTGGTTTTGTGAACTGATCTAAAGCCTGACATTCTTATCTGAATTCAAACATTAAAAACAAAACAAACTTTTTATTTATTTATTTATTTATTTTACATAGAGGAAGGATGGGCCAAATATTGAAGCACTATTAGTAACTTTATGAAAATAGGATTCAATTAAATATGTTGCCATTTCTATATGACCTTATATAAATCACTTAGGCTAAATTTTCAATACTATTTTGGTAGCCAATGTGGAATTCATCTCACTTAACTTTTAACTATCAAAGATGAAAGCATTTAACCTAAGTCGGTGCATTGGATCTCTTTATAGTCAGTGAAGTATGTAGACATGTCCCTCCAGAGAAAATGTCATCCCACTTTTCTTTTTCTGCCTTGGAGAGAACCTATATAATTAGTATAATCTATATATGCTTGGCTCCTATAACTTCATCCAGAAT